GTTGCTCTCTATCTGTTAGATTCTTGTGGAGAGTTCCAACTTCCAAGATATGGCAAGTAATATACATGTAGTTCGAAAAAGAACTGGTTAAAGCAGCTTTAGAGAGACCAAGGATTAGTAACAGCAAGAAGAACAATAACTCAAAAACTTTGAGCTTGGTGCTTTGCTTTAATACCATATAAGTGATTTTTAGGGAATTATATTTTGTGAAATCTGCTAAAATTCTAATTGGTGGATTTTAATTTCGCGAATTCTACCAAGTGTGCTATGTGGGTACCGTATTAAATTGATTTTCACGGATTTTGTTTTTTGCGAATTAAGAGGGAATCCACAAAATTTGCAAAATTTACAACCCTCTAAAAACCCACTTATACGGTATTATGCCATTTTCAATTAGAATTGCATCTGTTTGCTTTGGTACATGTACGTAATTGCTGAGTATGGGAAAAATCGCAACAATAACTGAAATAAACAGCTACGAATATACTCTGGCTATACATGTACATTTGTTATGTACATGTACATGCATGTACATGTACATCTAGTTCATTGATCAAAAGATATCTTACATATTTTGTTATACATGTATGTTACATCTCTTGAAGCACTTTACATTATTAAAATACATGGACATTAAGTACAGTATACTCTAGAACTATCCGTGTGTCACATGAAGCTTTAACAGATTTACATTTGTATGTTATACGTTTACCTTTATGCTTTTCTTTTCTCTTTGTAGAAAGGTCTCACTGTAATTTGGGATGCTTTTAATTCTCAAGAGGTACATTAACTGTGTGTTCATAATTAATTTGGTGTTGACTCATTCTGCTATTGTTTACTAGGAAATATTTATTGAGACTGATTTTGAATGTGTTTTTTCTTGTGCATATGCTCCATCAACTACTCTTGTTGCTTGCTGGTGATTTTTTCTAATAAAAAATTGTTGTATTACATTTTTATAGTGGATTGAGCCGAAGATGTAGCATTTATGATGTAAATTGTGGAGTTAATTTTATAAAAGAACCAAAGAAAGAATTTTTACTGAACAGTAAATACATTACACATTGCGTATTTGTTGGATCAGACCAGCAGGTACATATTATTTTTGTAATATGATGGATTTTTGTGTTCTGATTCTCTGTCATGAAATTTGTCTATTTATTGCATGCACATGTACTATACATATGATGGATGGGTATAAATATTGGGTAATGGCTGACCTTTTGGTATCCTTTTTATTTAGAGAGGTTTGACAATGGCTAAGTTTAAGGGTATTAACTTTAGTTTTTTA